GTAGATTTTGTGGTGGAAATTATACAAGCCGCTCAGTGAAACGGTTGGTGAATATGATATAATGTAAATTTAGTTTTTTTTTTTCTACGTGATGAAAATATTATGGTGTTTGAGACCTGGTTCGCCTTGGCTGCTTCGGATTTTGTTTATTTGCTGCATAGTGGACGGTTTTTGGATTTCGATGATGACGGTAATTACACTGCGGCGATCTTTAAGCACATATATATTATTTTCGTGCATTAATCATGAACCATGGCATTATTTTAATGGTGTAGATTGATATTAATCATCATCATCATCATTATCATTACAGCTTATTAAAAGTTCACCACTGAGCTAAGGCCTCTCCCATGGATTGTTTCATAGGGGGTAAATTTGCCTCAGTTGCAACCGCAGTTTTATTATTATTTTGAGTAGTTATCAGGAAGACCCTGCTGCAAAACTTGTTTGATTTCCGTTTGTCGACTCTTAGGACACCGACGGGATTAAATAGGGGGTTGAATTCCTTAAGCCGTCAATAAAGAGCGATATACCATTATGATGAAAAGGACATTATTAAATTTTCGCTGACCATATTTTATACTCACGAGTAATTTTATAATAAAAACCTAATTTTAAATTTAAATAACTATTAGTTATCACTTCGTCTCCTTTTATCTCAAGGGCACCTGGACTTAGGTACTTTTTTATATCACGACCCAAAAAAGCGAAGAATTAAATACAAAGACTATAAAAATCCTTTCAACACAGTAGCATATTAAACATTTCCAAAATATACTCATATATATTATACGTAATGCTGTTTAATCTACTTGCTTGTACAGTATACGTTAAAACTTCAGTAGCTAATCCATAGACCAATGCGCTGAACCAACATGATCAGCACACTGGCATCTGGCATAGTTTTTATTCGTTGACATCTAAAATTGGACCGTCAGTTATAAATTTCGGACACACATCAAAGGATGTTGGCGTGATGACGCCAATAGCGTTCACACGTTTGATCCATTTAACACCTGTTTATAGAATAAATAAATAAATGGGCCAAACGTCAAATATAAATTTAAACATCATTCTAACAGTTTTTATGTGTTTAAAATCTACTTGTTAATGACACAAAATATAGTACGTGGTCTTTACGTGGTAGAGCCACGTTCCAGCTATATTATGGTTGTAGCACGATTGGGTCGGCTCGACCGGGAAGGACCATGCTCTCACATAATACCATCGTGAAATATCAGCCTAATGCTGCTGTATTTCGTATGGTAAGTGTAGAGGAACGGAAAACCTTTTTTACTAAAAACAAGGCATTCCATCGTAGTCCTCAGGGATGACAACGCATCTGCATTTTGATTCCCGAGTTCACCACATTGCATCTCAGGGCTTGGAGTACCGCCCTACTGTCGGTCAGTATTCTGATGGGGAAGTCATTAACCTTCCTAGCATCTATTGCTATGGCCGCTTGAATGATACCCATACATTCCGCCTGAAAGACCGTTTTATAGGTACCCAGCGGTGTGCATATGTGAATATTGAGGTCTTCAGAGAAAGCTCCACAACCTACACCTTCATTTGTTTTAGAACCATCGGTGAAAATTCTAAGCTCTTTTGGGCTATTTCTTATCGAAAACAAATTGTTTAGGAATCCTATCGTATTTGGCTTGTAGGATAGGAATTTTTGAGTGAATTCTATCAATTATGCCTGTATGAGGGACACTATTCTTACTCCAAAGATTTAGGGTCTTGAGTCTGATGGCAGCTAAAGTCGCTTATAAAATCCTTAAACACATTCTAAATACTTATCAAGAGTAATTGATCCGTAATATACGGTGACATTACCCTGGCTTTTTTCTGACCCGTCTCATTCTTTCCGAGTCAGGGATATCTTTTGATATAACTTTTTTTTTTACCCTGTATTATAAAATTCTTTTCACTTTTACCATATCCTGTCCCTATCTGCCGTTCTTTTCCTCTCCTTAATTAATAGAGGTATAACGACCTAATAAGCTAGGTGTTAAAACTAAATGCAGGCAATAGGCAGCCGCAAAATCCGAGTTAAAAAGCACCGCTGCAATAATGCACTCACCTACTTAATGACTACTACAAAACCCTTTCTTATGACTCATATACACCTTGCTTTCATTTAATTTCTTGCACCCTTTCCACCTACAGACAGCAGACCTTTTTTTGTTGACATTATTCCAAGTATTATGACTAAACTGTTTGCTTTCTTTTGCGTCTTTTCTAATGACTACAGCAAAAGTTTGGAATAATTTGTCTTGCCAAGGCTTCATCAAAACTTACCGCTAGGTAAGATTGTAATCAACCACCGCCTTATTATAAACTATAAGTAATTTTATTTTTATCCGACTTCAAAAAAAGGTGGAGGTACTGATTCGACTGTATTTTTTTATGTGTTACTTCAGAACTTTTTTCTAGGTAAACCGATTTTGAAAGCTGGTGCTTCTCATGTAATCCCATATAAATTTGATCAAGATCTGACCAGTAGTTTTTGAGTTATACTTAATAATGTATATTTAATTGACTTGACTACATTGATGATGTTTTCATTTTATTTATATTGAAGTCGATTGTACAAAGTTTTTATTTTTATCACTTGTTAAGTCTGATGTCACTCGATGAAGAAGATATTTGTATTATGAGTGAGCCGGGTTACTTAAGGAATGGTAGTTAATCCCCGTTAGCAGTAAGGAAATAATTGTTAATTATCTTTATGTATAAAACTCTTCTACCCATGTGTTTGACTGAATTCGTAAACGGCTGGCCCGATTTCGTTGAAAATTTGTGTTTGTGATTGAGTTGATCCGAGAATAGTTTAGATTCATAATTGGAGCCGGTAGGTTGTCGTGATCCAGAAATCACCCGTGCGAAGCCGGGGCGGATCGCTAGTATATTTTTATTTATTTGTAGAATTAGGGTGACAAGCGAGTACACCGAGTAAGTGGATGCTGTATCCCATTGACATCTACATCTATCCTCGATTAAGAATCAAAATGCAGATGCGTTGTAACCCCTGAGGACTAAGATGGAATGCCTCTTTTACAGTAAAAAGGGTTTCCGGTTCTCTACACTTACCATACGAAACAGCAGCATTGAGCTGCTATTTTACGCTGGTATTCTGTGAGAGCGTGTTCTTTCCCTGGTCGAGCCGACCCATTCGTGCTATAACCATAATATAGCTGCAGCGTGGCTCTACCACGTAATAATAATAAAACCCTACTAAAAGTAAATGATTTATAATGTGGCATGTTGCGATTTTTTTTTCAATGGCCTTACAGGTAGTATTGTGACTTTGTGACGGACATTGTACTCGTACAATGTCGCTCGCCGGTCATTAAGTTGAAATATTGAAATGGTCGTAACAGGAAAATGAAAATTATTCACAAATGACACTTTGCGGTCGTAATCTATAGCATTTGTGATTTTATGGCCGATTTATATATTTATTTTTATAGTTTGGTTTTGTGTATAAAAATATTTATAGAAAAAACATGTCTATGTTGACAGTTCAAGCGGCTGCCATTTTATTACTGAAGGTGTTACAGTCGGAACAAATAAATGAAAGGATGTATGAAATGCGATATATAAAACAAGAAAGATACGAGGGCAACACTGAACATTTTTAGAACTGGCCACTTGTAAATGATATAATAAAAAATAATATTTTGAAAAGATATAATAAAACTAATAACTTGCTACATAGTTTGTTCAGTTTTTGATTTTCTAAGAACTTTCAGTGTCAGCCTCGTACAAGTGGTAAAATAAAAAATTTTGTACAACCGACTTTAATATAGACTATTAAGGATACCTCTAAAACTACTTGTCAGACATTTGTTCAAATTATAAGGGACCACATGAGAAGCGCCAGCTTTCAAATAAAAAAAGAATCACCAAAATTGATTCACCTAGAAAAAAGTTATGAGGTAACACACATTAAAAAATAACGTCGAATTGAGTAGGTACATCCCCCATTTTGAAGTTGGTTAATAAAATGCGTCTAGTGTAATTAATTCAACATATATTTTTTCTCAACCAGTTCATAGAAGTCAACTGCTGGACACGAGTCTCTCTCGTTGAAGGTAGAATTTGCTTTAATCGCCACTTATGTTGATCGCTTGACAAGCTGATTGTCGACTGTCCATACTGGAAATTGACCTCTTCAGCTGCATTGAGGATTGCCATATTAATCATCTCTTGCTCACTCACGCTCTTCTAGTTATTGTCTTGCAATTATTGATGCATCTTGAATAATAGATATTTTAAATTGCCACTATAAAGGTCAAACTTGTACCAAACGAACATTATTTTTGTCTGTCCTCTTAAGCTTTCTGCGACCCGTCGTGGATCTGTACCAATCTCACGAAATATGATATATATTTTTTTTTTCGATTTGTATGCACATGGTAGAGGCATGCTGCAGCCGCATTGGCCGCATAAGGGATTTTACTTCACCAGAACCGGAGACCCTTTATGTTGTTAACCAGGCATGCTGTCTTACTATTCAGGGTTGACAACACATTTATTATTCGGAAATAGATGTGTCTATGTATGTGTCAGAGCATCCACTTATCATTATACATACAACATATCAACGCACTGTGTGCTCGTTTTGCATCCTTGTGTAAAAACTAAAAATGTAGCGTTGATTCCGTTTAACATTGGCCCGCAAAAGTTTACCGCTGGACATAGGCGGCATGCTTGGAAGGCGGATAGACGATCGCAGTGCCAAACGTCTCGCGCCTTAGCTCGCTCGCTCTGCCTGTCGCCATTGTTAATAATTTACATCTGACGTAAACGAGGTGGTTATATACTGCCATCTATTGAAAACCTTAAGATTTTTCTTGTACCCTATCCCATAGTTGCATCTAACGACACCCACGGGATGAAATGTGGTGATGGATTCTCTTACTTGCCACCATATGGCATCCGTTTGACTTGCATATTATAAATATATATATTAAAACTTTTCCTTTACTCAGAAGGCAGTAGATGGAAAGACTGGCTACTGGCGTCGTTGCTCCTGGGCGCGGTCGTCGGTGGGTGGGCAGCGCTGCGAGCCGGCCGCGCCAGTCGCACTCAGGTGCAGAGGATGCTGCGCGATATGGAGCAGCTGAGGAAGGCCGAGATGGCGCTCGACGACATGCAGAAGGAGCTAGAGAAGGCTCGCATAGAACAGGTGCGAGCAATTCACAATTAACCTTCCTTTATGATTTATATTTAACTAGTATTTAAGGATTTTATCGCATTTAATTAACTTATTTTATATACTCGACGTTTCAAGTACATTAAAACACTAATCATAGGGTACCCCCCGTGACCAATATTTTCTATAATGGAATGTCGAAAGTAAAGGTATTGTACAATATAAATATGTTATCGCCTTTTGTTTAAAAAAACATATAACAAACCACTATTAAACGAAACTATCATGATATTATTTACTGTTATTTGTCCTGAGTGTGATTGTTTAAATAAAAAAAGATTTACATAAAAACGCTTTAAATATCTAAATTACAGGAAAGCGTCACAACCGAAAAACGCAACTTAGAGATGAAATTAAGAGAAGCCGGAGACACGCCATTACTGAATTCTGCCTCTTCGGACTTGGAGATGTCGCAACTTAAAGCTGAGATAGAGGTGAGACAGAGAGAAAAGATATAATTTATTAACCTTAAATCAACAGTAATTCATTTGTAACTATATAAGCTACGAAGTAGGCCTTAATTCACAAACATTACTTTCTTAAGTTTAAGATTAACGCTAATAATTTAATTTTAACGGAAAGCAGGCTAAGTTTTGAGACACAACATGACGGTGTCAACTACGTTTTTTTGTTTTTTCTAAATATCGATTTCTTGTTGAAGTTCTAACATTTAACCTAAATTCCATAGATGCTAAGAGCGGAATTGCGTCGCGCTGAAGGTGAGCTGGAGGATCGCTGCTGGGCGCCTCCTCCAGGATTACAACAATGGCTGCAGCTTACGCACGAGGTTGAGAATCGTGCGTACCTACGCAAGAAGCAACAAGCCGATCTGCAGTTGCAACAGGCAAGGGAAGCCGTAAGTGTTTCCCTTATTTTCCTTTCTTTTCAACCTCGTAATAGTGATTATGATGACGTTCTCTTGGCTGTAATGTTATAATTACGCTATCCGGCTATGGAAATCCGGCTCACCACTGTGCCTTCCCTTTTTATTACCTTCTTGCTCCTTATTACCTTCCCTTTTTATTTCTTATTACCTTCCCTTTAAGGCTTGTAGTAGACATGTTGTGTCAATCGTGAATGATTCGTTCATTTTCCTCGGGTGGCATCAAAGTATTGATGATTGCAATTACACTTTTTGAACGTCCCGGATCAAACTATTGATGGGATCTACGGCCAGATACTAGTAATGTCCAACGACCGACATTTTCGAGCGGTTCTCAAAGATATCAGAGTACTGAAACTCGAAATGATCCATTTGAATGATCAACCCGAATGACACGGTTCTAAAGCCGCGTATCCACCAAAAATGTTGACAGCATTTATGTTTCCAACTCAACAAAAGTTATCAACATTTGTTTCCGATGTTGCCCACAAATGTTTCCAACAAGCGTCTCCAACGAGGGAACAAATGTTTGCAACAAGCGTATTCCTTTGATCTTGCCGCCGAAAATGGAAACACGGTTCCCGACATTGTTTCAAATTTTGTTGCCATCACTAGGTAATTTTATTTAGGTAATTTAATTAACAGAAACATTTGTTACCTACACGTGTTGGCAACACAACAGTTGGTATCAAAACTTTGGTGGAAACCCGGCTTTAAGAGCAATCAATACTTGAATGATCCGGCCACTAGAAATGAATGAATGTCACATGTTTAGCTTGTAGTTTAGTGAGTGGGAGTGCATATTATTGATGTCGTTCCCAAGTGTTAAGTCCGCTACTGCCTTGAACTTGAATTTAAAATAACAATTAGGTCATAAGATAGCATCCGATCTTGCCTTTGATTTAACATTATTAAAACGACCAATAAACCACCTGAATTTTGACCCGAAATCGGTCATGATTTTAATATTTTATTAGTTTCTGCCCGAGGCTCCTCTCAAATAAATAATATCAAATTAAAAATTTTGTTCAACCGACTTCAATATAAATTATTAAGAATAACTCAAAAACTATTGGTCAGAACTTGATCAAATTTATATGGGACCACATGAGAAGCACCAGCTTTCAAATAAAAATAGAATCATCGAAAGCGTCCTACCTACATCCTTTTTGAAGTCGGTAGAAAAGTGAAAAAGAAACGCCTTAGTATTCATTTTCAAGTGGTTTTTATTTTCCTGTTATAAAATATACTCATCATTCATCATCATTCTCTAAACCATTTCCCATTATCTGGGGTCGGCGCAGTAAATCTTTTTGTTCCATTCCTCTCTATCAGCCGTCATTTCCATACTTACTCCTTTCATTCTCATATCACTCTTCACACAATCGATCCATCTTTTATTCGGCCTTCCTCTGCCCGTGTGTCCCTCCACATTCATATTCAACACTCGTTTTGCGACATGACTTTCATTCCTCCGCATCACATGCCCAAACCATGCCAATCTGCTTCCTCTCACCTTTTCTACCACTGGCGCTACTTTCAGGCTTCCTCTTATATACTCATTCCTTATCTTATCCATCCTTGTCACACCACACATCCATCGTAACATTCTCATTTCATTCGCATGCAGTCTATTTTCATCCTTCTTCTTGACGGCCCAGCATTCACTTCCATACATGACGACAGGTCGGATGATCGATTTGTAAATTTTCCCCTTCAGCCTTATTGGCATTCGGGGATCGCACGTTGTGGCTGTGACCTGTCGCCATTTCATCCACCCTGCGTTAATCCTATGCTGCACAGCTCTATCTATTCCGCCGTCGCCTTGAATGAGGGAACCGAGGTACTTGACATCTGAGCAGATAGGCAGTATAGCGCCATCCAACGACATGGGTACAGGACTGGAAAGACCGCCGAAATCACAGCACAGATATTCGGTTTTGGATCTGCTGATCTTCAGGCCAACACTTTCCAGCCTCCGTTGCCACCCCGTCAGTCTGCTCTGTACCTCGATGCCTTCTTCCCCGACAAGCACGATGTCATCGGCAAAGAGCATGCACCAGGGTGCCTCATCCTGCAGGTCCGACGTCAAAGCGTCCATAATCAGTAGGAAGAGGTAAGGGCTCAGTGCCGACCCTTGGTGCAGCCCTACCGCCACATCGATACTGCCCGTAGTTCCCGCGGCAGATCGTACACATGTACGGGATGTAGCACGGACCAACCTCACATACTTCCCAGGCATACCTTTCATCTTTAACGCCCACCACAAGACCTCACGGGGAACCGGATCGTACGCCTTTTCAAGGTCGACAAAAACCATGTGCAGATCTTTATGCACGCGCTTGTACTTTTCGCACAATTGGCGTAATGCGAAAATGGCATCTACCTCGACCGGGCATGAATCCGAACTGGTTTTGTGTTATCTCACACTCTTCTCTCATTCTTCTCTCTATTATTCTTTCCCAGACTTTCATCGTATGTGACATGAGCTTTATTCCCCGGTAACTCCTGCAGTTTTGAACGTCTCCTTTGTTTTTAAAAATGGGAACCAGTATACTACTGCACCATTCCTCAGGTATTTGTTCTTCCTGCAACAATTTACCGAAAAATAAACTCAACCACTTCCATCCATCCGCCCTCAGCAACTTCCACACTTCTACTGGTATTCCATCTGGGCCGACCGCCTTCCCATTATTCATATTCCTAACAGCCATTTTTACTTCTTCCACACTAATTTCTCTCACTAAGCCCATATTCACTGGTGGGTTTTCAAGCATACCATTCCATTCATTCTCCTCATTCATCAATTTCTCAAATACTCCTTCCATCGCTTCTTTATACTTTCATCGTCAGTCAAAATCCTTCCAGAATCATCTTTTATACATTTTACATGTGAAACATCTCTTCCATTCCTTTCTCTCGCTCTTGCAATTTGAAAAAGTCGTTTTTGACCTTCGGGGCTTTCAAGGGACCGATATAATTTATCGTGCGCCTCTGCCCTACAAATAGCAACTTCCTTCTTCGCTTTCTTCTTACATTCTTTATACGCCCCTCTCTTACTTTCTTTTATGGATTCATTCTGGTCTTCTACGCTCTGCCATTCTTTAAAGGCATTTTTCTTTTCTCTCAAAACTTCTCTAATACTTTCACTCCACCACCACCCATCCTTATCTATCATACGCTTCCCTTTTGTTTCTCCTAACACCTTCCTTGCCACACTTCGGATACAGTCAGCCATTTCCCTCCAGCACTCATTCACACTCATTCCTTCCATATCACCCATCTCTATCATCTTGTTTACAACTAGCTCTCTAAATTCACTTGCATACCCCTCCTTATGCAACAAATGCCACTTTATTTTGGGTGGGGAACGATCCTTATGTTTGTTGAGGCGAACAGTTAAGCAGATGTCAGCCAGCAGAATTCGGTGCTGGGATACTAAGTCTTCACCTGGAAGCACTTTGCAGTTTTTTACACTCTTGATTTGGTTCCGTCTTATCAGAAGATAGTCGATCTGTGTCGCGTGGTGGCCACTTTTATAAGTAACAAGATGCTGATCTCGTTTTTGGAACCACGTGTTTACTACAGCCAGGTCGAAAGCACATGCTGCTTGCAGAAGAACTTCCCCCTCACGGTTCCGCACTCCGTACCCCCATCCACCATGTACTCTTTCATACCCGTCATTCACTCTCCCTACATGTCCATTAAAATCTCCTCCCATATAAACATCCTCACGCTCAGGTATTCCCATCATCATACAATCAAATTCCTCCCAAAACTTCTCTTTCACACTCTCTTCACAGCCTGTTTGCGGAGCATACACACTTACAACATTCACTACTTTGTTTTCAATCATTAATTTAACAACTATCATTCTGTCATTTACTCTTTTCACATCTGTCACTCGTTCTTTCATTCCACTATCTAACACAACTCCTACTCCATTTCGCTTCCCATCACTTCCACAATAATAAAACTTGTATCCCTCCCCAATCTCTCTTGCTTTATTGCCCTTCCATTTTGTTTCCTGCAAACAGGCAACATTCACTCTTCGTCGTTTCAAAACATCTGCTAACTCTCTTCCTCTTCCAGTCATCGTACCTATATTCCAGCTTGCAAACCTCACTCTGACATTCTTCTCTCTCCGGGCTCGCCTCTTACGTCGCACCCGCTCCGTAAGGTGCGACAACCCTTGCCCACTTCCCACAGGAGCCGGGTGCTGCCCCTGCGCGTCGCCTGCGGGGTACGCCCTAGCCCTGTCATATGTCCCACAACTCGTACTATTCATTTACTGCATGGGATTTGGCAAAAGTTTTACAGTCGGCCGCCTGCCTGACACCAACCCTCTTTGGGTATGCTATTGCTGGTAGAGGAAGCTACCATTTTGGGAAAAGGAAAAAGAAGTTTGGGGGTAGGAGCATAGGTGTAAGGATACTGTTATCTCGGCAGGAAAGGTATGAGAATAACAGTAGCTCGGGGAGCCGGGGTCGCGTACCCGTATTCCATACCAGGATCACCGGAAAGGTAGACCAGCATGAGAACCCCCTGACTAAAAATATACTAATAGACATAATATGATTTATATACCGTTACAGCCTATTAAGGTCTACCGCTGAACATAAACCTTCCCCATTGATAGCTTCACTGTGGGGATTTTGCCATAGTTGCCACGCTTGTCAAACGAGTTGGCAACCGCAATTCTTTATTTTTAGTCGTTATTCGGAAACTGCTGCTGCCCATCTCCTGATTTGTTCCCTTCTGTCGCCTCTTGCGTTAGCCACTGGATGATATGGGGTAGTGGATATTCTTACACCGCCACTACACCGTATGATCTATATGTTATGTGCTAAATTCTACCAAAATTAAACGGATTAAAATAATACATGATTAAATAACAAACATCCAAACTAGTTTTAAAATTTTTACATATAGATAATATAACATCAGTATAGACATAGATTTAATGTATTATTATAGTGTGAGAAACTACGTAAGAAGCGGTCTAGCCTGGTGGGTGCTTTCGTTTCAACTCACGGCAAGTCCATAGACGAGGTCGACCGATCGATCGTCGAAGCCCGCACAGCACTGAATGAAGTCACTCAGGAATTACAAGTATGATAAATTCATTCTTTACTACTCGCACTAAATAATTATGACCTCCTTGTCCAGCTTGCCTAACCTATGTGCGCCTGCATAGATATAGTTCATCTTATCTTGGGTTATTTATAGCAAATAAGAATTCAGTAACGCAGTTGCTTCTTTTTTTTTATAGGATAGGGTGACAAACGAGCACACAGTCCACCTGATGGTAAGCGATTGCCGTGGCCCATAGACATCTACATTTATCCTCGTTTGCGAATCAAAATGCAGATGCGGTGTCACCCGTGAGGACCAAGACGGAATACCTCGTTTCCAGTAAAAAAGAGTCTCCGGTTCTCTACACTCATCATACGAAACACAGCAGTGTTAAGCTGCTATTTAACGCTGGTATTCTGTGAGAACGTGGTCCTTCTCCGGTCGAGCCGAACCATTCGTGCTACAACTATACTACTAATATAGATGCAGCATGGCTCTACCACGTGTAGAAAGTGTGCTGCACCTGCACTCTAGGGCCGCAAGTTTGAATCCCGCTAGGAACTAGTGGATGTATTGCCTACAAATAGTTATTTTGGATCTGGATGTTTGTCTAGGTGCGATTTATGTATATAAAACGAATCTGAATGACAGTGTGAGAAATTGTTTAATAAGAGAAGAGTGTGGTTTGCAAGATGATCATCATCTTGCAAACCATACTCTGATGATGTTGTGACCAGGATTAAGAAAGGAATGCTTCGGTGGTTTGGTCATGTAGAAAGAATGAATGAGGAAAGAGTGACAAAGCAAATTTATGTTGCAGAGGTGAACGGCAGGTACAAGGTATAAATAGGCTTTCCTTTTGTATCGGGTGTACACTGGAAAAATATCACTTCAGCTGTTTGTTTATGCTTTTCTACATGCTATTGTAATTACACATGTAACGTTCATTTGAATTCTGGGCCTGATTAAAGGCAAAGTAGGCAATTAGCCCAGCGGAGTTAGAAAATACGTTTTAAAATATAGCGTAAGGCTATCCACTACCCCATAATATAACAGCGTGGGTGCCGTAATAGGCGACAGGGAGAAATTAAACGGGGGATGGGCAGCAGCATCTACCTGATAACACATCAAAATAATAAAATTGCGGTAGCCAGCTGTGTAAACATACCCCCTTTTGAGGCAATCTGTGGGGAGGGCCTATGTTTAGCAGTAGACTTTTGATAGGCTGGGATGAATGAATGATATAGGAAGTTGGAAAAAGCGAAAGAATCCCTACACTAGTATTGACTAGGGGCCTCTTCATTGCTTAATCCGTTCCTGTATCTTTTATATAACTTGTTCTTAGTAACTAGACACGGATAAGCATTGAGTTTGTTTAGTTTAGTCATCGATCACTAATCAAAAAACTAGATACACAATCAGTGACAAAAAATGTCTTTTCGAATGAGAATGAGCGCCCACTCGACCATTTGGGTGCGCTTTTAATGTGTACGTAGCATTGTGAATACAACTTTAGGCAATGCATTTAAGGTTAAAAAAATTAAAGTTACAGCCTATATACGTCCCAATGCTGGGCACAGGCGTCCCCTCATTTCTGAGAGAATTTTAGGGCAAGGAAGTGTCCGCCGCGCTGCCGCAATGCGTGTTGGCGAACTTCACATGTCTTCGAAATGTTTCCTCGCAATGTTTTCCTTCATTGCCGAGCACGTGGTAAATCAGTACTTAAAATTACAATTAACAATTTCATTGGTGCCGTCGGAATTCGAACCCGATTTGGTCGCATACTGTGAAATTTACAGCGAGCGCTAACCATCTGAACTACCACGGCATTTAAGGTTGAATTTACTTTAATTTTTTGATTTTTTTTTTATAGGATCGGGTGACAAACGAGCACACAGTCCACCTGATGGTAAGTGGTTCCTGTGACCCTTAGACATCCACATCTATCCTCAATAAAGAACCAATATGCAGATGCGTTGTCACCTGTGAGGACTAAGATGGAATGCCTCTTTTCCAGTAAAAAGGGTATCCGGTTCTCTACACTCACCATACGAAACACAGCAGTGTTAAACTGCTATTTTACGCTGGTATTCTGTGAGAGTGTGATCCTTCCCCGGTCGAGCCGATCCATTCGTGCTACAACTATACTACTAATATAGCTGCAGCATGGCTCTACCACGTACCACGTTAATGCATATTTACGTGTATACATTAACGTGGTATATTTATTTCAACTAGAATTACGTCAAAACAATTGGCGACAGTTTTTAGAGAACTTTTTCATGGTATTGTGTATCTAGTTTTTTATTAGTGATGGATGAGTTTAGTATATTAAAAACTACTATATACCAAGTACAACGATGGTACACTTAACAAATTCTAAAATTAATTTTAATTAAAGTTTCTATTAAAATTGAGTATACCTGTAATAAAATACTTTAATAATTTTTCTCAGAACTATACATGCATGAACTTGCCTCCACTACTGTCGACCCATGCCCTGGGTGTGCCTATATGTCCCTTTCACTCTAACTTTTGTTTATCCTTAGGAGCGAATGCACCGATGGAAGCAGATCGAACGCTTGTGCGGCTTCAACATTATAAACAATAACGGGCTGCAATATCTGGAAAGCACTCTCTACAGGGCTGCTAATGGAAGACCGACCGGGAGGGGTAAGTTTGAAATATACAACTGACAGACATGTTCGTATATCATACCGCATAACGTACAACTTGGCCAAAACAATTAGGCGCATGACAGGAATGCGGTTTCGGCGCCCGCACCCTTTCTCTATTTTTTATAGAAGAGTGGGCAAACGAGCATGCGGCTCACCTGATGGTAAGTGATTACCGCCACCCATGAACAACCGCAACACCAGGGGAATTGCAGGTAGGTGCGTTGCCGGCCTTTTAGAAAGGTGTAAGCTCTTTTCTTGAAGGTGTCTAAGTCGTATCGGTCCGGAAATATCGCCGGTGGTATACAATTTCACAGAGAAGTTGTACGAGGAAGAAAATTCCTAGTAAAACGCACAGTCGTGGACCGCCAAGCATCCAGGTGGTGAGGATAGTATCGTGAATTTTGACGCGATGTGAACATTGACGGTTGAAATTAATCCGAACAATATATTCAATAATGATATATTCAAAAATGAATAGGTATAAGTGCAGGTGTTGCTTGTTTGAGCATAAACTAATAGTACGCAAGTAAGCAGAGTTTAATTCACACTGGCGCCGCTTTTTGTAACAATTTTAAGCCTGTGCTTCACTACTATCTCACCAAATGGTAATGTTGACGAAGATGACAAAGCGCGCTGAATTTGCTTAAATGTATAATCACAATATTACGCAGTAAAACTAAAATAAATACATAAAGATAACTAAATTATATTATATTATTATTAAAACCAAACTGCAGCTGAAGCACGACTGTGGCAGATGACAGAACCCTAATCAGCCTTTCAAAAGTCCACAGTTGAACATCGGCCCCCACCATAAATTGCCTTATATAGGGGATATTTGCCATAGTTAAACTCAGTTATTTGTTTTCCTCTTTCGCTTCTTACGACACCCATAGGGCGATATGGAGTAGTATGAATTTTTAAATTAAAAATTCACTTCTGAAATGTTCTAGCGCCGTCTAGCGGCGGACTGCTAATGACTTTCGTTCTGATATTTTTTAATTTGAATGCGAAATCAGCTTAAGTTCAAATAAAGCCGAACTTCCGCCGCATATTAAACTTACTTAGTTTATAAGATAAATAGCTGAGCTTGATTTTCATACATGTGCGTCCACCGCAAACAAAGTCAGCTAGGTAAAATAGCCAAACTAAGTCAAAATAACTTAGTTGTGTAAGCTGATCTGAAACTACGTGAACTAAGCTAAGCACCTCTCACCCTCTTACGTTACCCCTCTGGCGCTTTTCACTTAGTGTTGTTTGTTTTAGCTTAGTTTTCGGTGAACGTGCAACGATTTTCCAGCTTAGCTTAGCTTAGTTCACTGAACCTAGTTTTCACATAGTTTAGTTCGCGGTGGACGTTCGGCTTAAAACTTGATTGGTCGATTGATTCAGAACTTGATTCTGTCGGAAGTAGGCCGGTTGATTGGTTCGTCATTGTCCATGTGTCTCTAATACTACTTCCTAACCAACCTCTGAAGATAAGTGCCTTTGTGTTAGTGCATAGAATGCTTAATACTTATAATAACATCTCCTGTGCTGTGGTCATTGCACTATGTCCTGTAAATTAACACATTTTCAAACTATTAATATATATTGTGTAAACTTTGTAACCACTGTTAGTTAGTTTTACACATTGTGATTTTTGTTTTCAGTTCGCATGAGCAGCTCTCAAGACGACTTGAGTGTCGGTGATGACATGTCTATTTGCGGCTCCGGTAAGTTTGACGATGCATCCATCTTCCACGAACACTTTGACTAAAATGGTAAAACAGGAAATACACATTGGAACAAACGTTTGACCAATGCATAACAACGCGATACGCAAATAATTTTGAAGTTTTATGATTATTATTTTATTTTATAGGAATTGCTTTCGTTTATAACACTACTTCACCCGTGCGGTTAAAGAATGGGATTGAAAATGGCGTCGCCTCTATTCACTTTTCGCTCGTACACTGTCGCGGTCTATACTCCACCCACCGGTAAAGACTAAAAAAGAATACGTTGTGATTTGCGTTTTTCGTACGTTTTATAATATGTCCTATGTGTAGTAGTCCTATGTGGTAGAGCCATGCTGCAGCTATATTAGTAGTAAAGTTGTAGCACGAATGGGTCGGCCCGACCGGGGAAGGACCACGCTCACAGAATACCAGCGTAAAATAGCAGCTTAACGCTGCTGTGTTTTGTATGGTGAGTGTAGAGAACCGGAGACATCTTAGTCCTCACGGGTGGCAACACATCTGCATTTTGATTTATAATAGAGAATAGATGTAGATGTCTATATGCCGCAGCAACTACTTACCATCAGGTGAATTATGCGTTCGTTTCTCACCCTGTCCTATAAAAAAAAAACTTGTCATTCGAATCAATGATAACAAAATTCCATACTAACTACAAAAAAAAATTCAGTTCGGTTTTGCTAATTTGTGAATTTTCTTCGTAATTATTGTTGATTTTTGTTTGTTAATATTTTTGTACAAAATATTTACATGCCATTGAGACACGAGTAACCATTTTTAAAATTAACGTTTAACTGTCTGTCCGGGCTAAGCTTCGGTATGGCTGAACCGATTGTAATAAAACTTAACGGACAAATAGAGAGTAGTACCAGGAGTCATCTAGACTAAATTTAAAACCGAAACATTCAAATAAATGGTCTTTAATGATTATATTAAGTCTAAATAAATCCACAATAATAAATCCCACTTGTTAGCGAGTCGCTAGTTATAAATTCCTTTAAAATATTTTCCGATTAATAGAAAATTTCCAATTAAGCTAATAATATAACGTTGTAAGGATATGTTATAAGCGAGTTTTCGCTAATGGTACTGTGCATGTTGACGGTACGGGTTCGACGAGCCGCCATTTCTAATCCCATTCTTTATCCGTACGGACTGTATATATAAATAATTGTTATAGTAAAATATTACGATGTTGTATAATATTATTTTATCTGTGTGACCTAATTATAAGGAATAACACATATTTTTATACAGTTAAATTTGATTAAGAAATAACATATAAAATATGAAACAATATAGTAAAGTTTAGTGTCTCAAAGATCGGATACATATATTAGTACGAATTATTTAGCTAAAAGCTCGAATAAACTGCCAGGTATTAATTCCAACAAGTGGCAGGTCATATTTGATATTCATAGTTAAAATTGTGATGTCCTAAAAACAAACTTTAATGTCTAATTAATTATAACAGGTAACTAATTGCACACACGGAAAAAGCTGCGCGTTGTGAAAATAAGAACTACGACATGTGACATGTCATTTAATGACAAAAATCTAGTTTTAGTAATTATCCTTAACTGCCACGTTACGATACACTAATTGTTTAGCAAGATCCTACATTTTTAAATTAGATGGTTTTCCTCTCTACTCCACAATACCTCTCATAATTACAAAAAAAGAATACAAATATTTCTGTATTGGCGTTTTGGATGTGCACCAACGGGCTATATTCCTTGTTACGGACGCAAAAGCGTACTACTATACTTATTATCATGCATAATATATATCACAAAAGACAAATTTCTAGTACAAAATACTTTAATCAATATAGTACGATTATATAACATAGATAACAAAAATAAAATATTATCTAATAACACAAATTAATAAAAAAGTTGCTTGAAATCTTTTTAACAGATAATGTATATTTTCTTAAATGCACTAGTGATTCCGAAAGCTCAGTACAACCAGAAAATTTCTTGAAATACCTTTTAATGCGTAAGTTCAATCGAAAACACTTGAGCCGTTTTCGATAACATCAAGAACTTATGGAAAAGATATACCACAGAATATTTCTACCAATCTGTTGGATTGTTGACTAAAATTATATTTTTTACGAATATTTAATGTAGGCATTTTATTTATATCCATAATTCAAACTAATTTCATGGATTTAAACTATCTTGCCACTTTACTCTAAACCCTCCCTCCGTTATGACATCAGAAATGTTGGATTTAAGGAGGAAATTATTTACAATATTTTTGTGTTAACTACAATATTTTTCATAAAAATGCACCTTAAATTACTCATTTCAAACTAAGGCAACGTGAAATAAGTATTGTTAAAATACTAAATCTCAAGTTACCAACGCGTGACGAGTGTAACATAATTTATGAATGTCCGTTGAATACAATAATTGCCGGCTTTCATTGCTAAAAGCTACATAACTGCTTAAGCCATTCTAAGTAATTTATTTTCTCATTCACTTAAAACATTTTAGCTTTAGTCTCAAATTATAAAAACAAAACGTACTTACTTTTATATTACTTAATTATTATTTATTAAACATGTTATTTAAGGTCGTAGCATACGTCACTTGATTTTACTCACACTGGATAGAACGTATGAATCCTTTTTACAAGATTGAAAAACATCTTTATTAAAATTTACTTTTATATTATACTAGCAATTTGCCCCGGCTTGGCGTGGGTGACAAATGTCAATCTAAACTATCCGGGGGACCCATTCAAACACACACAAAAATTTCATCAAAATTTATGACACACGAACGAACAACAATTGATGTCAAAAAGTTCGCGGAATAAAAGGGAAAGGAAAAAAAATATTTTTTCTTTTTGATATATTCTCCATAAACCCTATAATACACTTCTCAGATCGTTCAAATAATTTATTTATACCATCGTAAAAATGTGTTGTCGAATGTTTTGTAGAGGCCCTCAAAATAAGCAGAAATTGCCGACTTCTCTTCTTTGTCATCTGTAAATGTCTTTCCCCGATCTCTTTTTTTCACAGTTGGGAACAAATAATAATCCGAATCTGGATTATAGGGAGGGTAGTTTAAAGTTTCGAATCCGCACTTGTGCAAGGAAGCCAACGCAATATGACTCTTATGAACGGGTGCGTTGTCGTGCAAAAGGAACAAATTTCGAAACCCCTTCTTTTTTTCGCATCTTTTTATTTTTCTAGTATATATGAATTTTTTGTATTTTTGCATTTGCCCATCCCTAGATGGTCACTAGAAATGAATGAATGACACATGTCTTTTGTAGGCACAAAGATGTGCATATCACGCTGCCGCCCCGTTCGATGTTTTATCCTTTTATGCTACGACCTTTACCTTTTTCAATCTTAAAAATTTTTAGTTTAAAATAATTTTAACTTGTAATTTACTAATTTTACTTCTATTTCAAACCTGGTAGGATATTAGTTTAAAAGAAAATATGTTATTTAAACGCTGTTAGCGATTATTTAGCGCTCAAATTTATTTTATCTTAGGGTTAGACCTTATTAGTACTTAAGATCTTTTGAATATTTTAAATTAGTTCTCACCACCTCAGGTTACCTTTACTTGATAAAAAATTAGACTATATAATAATAGCCAGAGAGAAACATTTCACGGTGGTAATTAGAAGTTATATTATTTAAATTATATGACATCATTAAACAGCTATATATACTCGTAGTTGATACGTGTACCTTATTATTTGCAATAGTTCATTCATTTTTGACGACATAAAAGACATTGATAGCATAAACGCTCATTTTATTAATTAATAATGTTACTTTTTTTGTTTCATGATAGTTAATGACATAAATATTTAAGTTCCTGAAATATATCTGTAATAAATAACAACGGTTACCTTCTATTTAGACAATGAATGTGATACAATAATTCCTCTGTGAAAATAATAATTATTGTGATGTACTAAATATGATTGTATTTTTGATATAGGTATATTAATGAGGGCTAATAATCTTACACTCACCAGATGTCGCTAGTTGGGTCTGAGGTGAAATTATATTACCGTGTCATATTCAAAGTTGCGTTTTAAATAAATGTTTTCGGTTTCTAGTGTGTTTATAAGGTGTTACACAAACAATTGTGTGTACACAAAAATGCTTTAGTGGTGTCCTGTTTGATTTTTTAACTATTCTTTTATATTTTTTACTTTTAGGAATATAATAATTAATAACAAATATAACTGAATTTTCGAAAATAAATATAAGTTCCCAGTCATAAAGTCTGTCAAATATTTCACCTCATTCTAAAGTGGCGCCGCTCTGGTGGAGAAAAAAGTTGTGGAAGCCCTCACTGATAATATATTTACCACGTATTATCAATGATGGCGATGTGACTGATGCGTCTATAATACAAACATTAGAAATATTGAGAAGGAAACATTTGTAAAAACTATTTTACTGACTACTTAAATAAGAGTAATTGTTATGTATCACATTTTATGAAATAAATATTTTTTGAAATTTTACTGTACTGTCATCACAATCGATATGAAGCTTTCAGGCTTTATGTGCGATTTTATTTTCGCTGTACGTCATGTACACACGACATAAAATTGCGCAAAGGATTTCCTTTCGTTTAGGTCTATCGCACAACGAACTGCCAAAAGCATGTATGACTTATTGTTAAGTATTCTTTGGTAAGATCTTCATATATCTCTGCTTTTTTTTTTTGGATATGGGTTATCTTCCTCCATTTACATGTATGATTGATTTGATTTAGGGAAATTCATTGACATCGTTATCTTATTTAATATTTTGCAACTACAACTGATATTGTTTTAAAAAGCACATATGTAAATATCATCACCAACACATTTTTATTGTATATATTCATGTTCATTCCATAGCATAGTCATTGTCATTTTAGCGAATATTTCATTGTGTATATAATATCCCTCATTTTAATAGTGCATATTCTGTTAGCCAGTTGTCTTTTGCACGTTTGAAAGCTTTTGACGATTGTGATATTGTTTTATTTATCCCGCCTTTAGCTTCCCCTCAGTGTTGCAAACTTTAATTTTATCCATAGAATAAAGCTGCTTTATAATGGCAACATTCCTACTATACAGGTAAGATGTTATAAAGATATTGACATTATTGCTTTTTGTTACTTACCATTAATGTTTTAAGAATACATAATCCAATAACATTTAAAACAATATCTCATACATGCTTTCGGTAAAGATATGTAACAAAACTAAAATACGTAGTTAAATATTACCTCGACAAAATCTAATATTAATATAACATTTTATTTTTTAATTCCAATGTAACAATTTATGGCCATACTCATAATCTTTTACTTAAGTATTATATCTCTATACCTGTCTCTTTCTATTGTCATTTGGTGAAGAGAGAGAGAGAGAGATAATAACAATAAGCATTTTTAAGTTGACTTCGATTTATATGAGTAAGGCTGCCAATACAGGTTGTAAGATGTCAGCTTTAGCCGCGCATTGGCTGAGGTAAATGAATCCATAACTACATCTCGTTCGCAGTGTCTTAAGAACCGAACACGGGGCTGTTTTCGATAGCGGTATAACCATTTTGAAGGATAAATCCTCACTCTTGGGGGTGGTAATGATAGATTATATCTGTGATAATCGTATGAATGTCACTTGTATCAGGGCCATTAAAATTTTCAGCGGCTGACAATTTCGGCTGGCGCGAGGACTCTTCGGGAAGCGAAGAACACGACGCACCCCATTATCCACTAGATCTGAGACTCGCTGAAGCCAGGTAAGTTGAAAGTTAACTCTTGGCTTATTAGATATTGGGCATTATGCATTTTTAAGCGTGACTTATGGTAAATCTGTGTTTAGATGATAAGCTATTCGTAGAGATAATACAGAAATCCATTCCATTTTATTTTAATTACCTAACATCCTTGATACTGCCTATTAAAATCCACAGCTGCACATAGGCCTCCCTCATCATTCACCATCATCATTACAGCTCTTCACAAGTTCACTGCTGAACATAGACCCCCCAAGGAATGCCACAAATAATGGTCCTGAGCCACCTGCATCTATCGAATTCCTGCATGTATTACCGGTCATATAGCTCGAAGAACCGACAACCGATGGGGAAAAAGGTTCTCGAGTGGCAGCCTCGTATCGGTAGGCGAAGTGTAGGGCGACCCCCACTTGATGGAATGATGACCTGATAGGCCTGATGACCTCATAGATTGCTAAATGGGAGGATTTTGCCATAATTGCCACGCTTGGCAAGCGGGTTGGTAACTGCAGTCTTTTATTATTTTAAGTTGTTATCAGGAAGATGCTGCTGCCCATCTCCTGTTCCATTTCCCCTCTGTCGCCTCTTACCACACCCGCGGGACGATATGGGGTAGTGGATATTCTTACATCGCCACTACACGGTTATACAGAAGTTGCTTGAGTAAAACTCCTTTTTTCTGTATTTTTTAACTTAAGCTTTAAGCCAGTGCTTGACTATATTCTATTACTATCTCTTTTACTATTTCATTTCCCTATGTCGCTTTTTACGACATCCACGGGATGATATGTGGGTAGCGGGTTCTTTATTGCGCCACTACACGGCCACAGATCTTAGATATTATTAATTTACAAAATAAATATAGTGCAAATTATGAACATCATTTATTTGAAAAAGCTAAGACATGGAACAAAGTTATTTAAAGAAAAACATTATTGAAAGTGATTGGAAAATACTTAATTTAGGAAATATTTATTACGTTTTAAATGAAGGAATTTCGATTTAATCAAGCTGTCAAAGTCCCAATCTAATGTGGAATACATCGCGGAAAGACATTTAGGCTGAGATCTATAGATCGTACTTTGACTTTGTTCAGACTTCCTTACGAAAAACTTAGCTGAGTATATGCTTAGCATAATCTTTGATTCTGAATTTATAGCTGTATCGGGCTAAGATTAAGCTAAGCTTATGCTAAGGCCCAGACAGTCCAAATATTAATGGATGTTTCATTCCACGCATTATGTTTTTGACTTTATTGTATAATATATATATATATATATATATATTAGCGAGAGGAAGTATCATTCCATGAAGTGTGAGTGACACAGATAGTGACGCTTTTGATTCAGATGCTAATGGGTGAGTGAGACAGATAGTGACGCTTTCGATTCAGATGCTAATGGGCGAGTGAGACAGATAGTGACGCTTTCGATTCAGATGCTAATGGGTGAGTGAGTCAGATAGTGACGCTTTCGATTCAGATGCTAATGGGTAAGTGAGACAGATAGTGACGCTTTCGATTCAGATGCTAATGGGTGAGTGAGATAGATAGTGACGCATCGACTGGGGAAGAACCACGCTCTCACAGAATACCAGCGTAAAGTAGCAGCTTAACACTGCTGTGTTTCGTAGGGTGAGTGTAGAGAACCGGAGATCCTTTTTACTGGAAAAGAGGCATTCCATCCTAGTCCTCACCAGGGATGGAAAAAATCATGATTTTTTTAATTTTAATCAAATCATGCTGATTTTTTTAAAAAAATCATGATTTTTTTGAATTTTTTGACTTTTTTGATTTTTATTGTATATTTTGAAATTCACGAGTTGGTAACACTTTTTGATGTAGTAGGATTAAAAGTTTATGAATACATATGTATGAATAAAATAATTAATACTGTATTAATTACAGTTCATATCTTAAGGGTGAATTTCAAAAAAAAAATTTTTGGTTGATTTTACTAAGTTTGAGACTGACAGACCTCATCGCTACGTCTTTGTTGATTTCCAAAGTTTATGAGACTATTGTAGTAGAATAATAAGAATAACATAAAACAATAAAAGATTTTACATTATGTTAAGCCAGTATTATTTCGATTTCTGCTTATTACATTAATTTAATACGTGTTGATTTAAATCAATGATTTTTTTAATCAAAATCAAGCGATTTAAATCGTGATTTAAATCATGATTTAAATCAGTCTGATTTAAATCAGCCAACCCTGGTCCTCACGGGTGACAACGCATCTACATTTTGATTCGCAAACGAGGATAGATGTAGATGTCTATGGGCCACAGCAACCACTTACCATCAGGTGGACTGTGTGCTCGTTTGTCACCCTATCCTATAAAAAAATGCTAGTGCTGCGGCTAGACTGTATCGCGAGGGATAGCAAAATGCTGATCGCTATCCAAATCATCGAGTTTCTACAAATGTGCTCCGTCTACTCTTTACTGAGGGCAGACTTCCAAACTAAGTACATGGTGAAGGAAGAAGTTGGTTACCTTATGAGGACATAGTATTACAAGCAGGTAAAAAGACCCAAGTACTTCGGTACGAGCAATTCAGGAAATCACAGGAGTGCCCGAAAGTACAGCTCACCGAATTTTACAAAAAAGTGAGTTATTTTGTCCTGAGAAGGCGTCAAAAAAAAGATATTTAGATTTGAACCTCTTTAGGTTATGTCTTATGTCACATGGAAATAGTCATGCATCCTGTGTTTATTTGATTTTAGCTTAATACATTCTCAACATTATGTACCTACCTACATAATTGCGAGTTTTTAGATTATTGTATCTATTATATATTTGCATACTATAGTATTGCTATATTGGCACTACTATACTATACTACACTACTATGACAATACTATACTATAGTGACATTTTGGTTTAGCTAGTGTTGCCATAACATTAAATGAAATTGTTACATAGTACTATGATTGAGATAATGTATTATTGTAGGAATATCTTTGTAAGACTTATTTTCAACCATATCATTTTTATTTTTATTATTACTGATAGTATAGTTATTACTAATAATAATAATATAAAAATATTTTGTGTTTGTGTGTTGTGTTGGTAGTCTTACAAAGTGTAAGAATACCAAAATAGTATGAATATAGTAAATGGCAACAATTGAATAGAGTAAAATGGTTTAAGTCATTTGATATTCCCAAAAATGTTTGTTCTTTTTTGTGACTTTAATTAAAATACATTTTTATTTGAAAAATCATAGAAAAATAATAAAACTCATTTTATATATAAGTTATTTCTAGACGCAATAATTTTTGTCAACTATTTTTCTGCCCTTGTTCTTTATTTAGATTTTTTACAAAACCATTTACTTAATTTACTTGAAGACGTGCCACTAAGTATTTACAGAGAGATGTGGTATCAGCAAGATGGCTGCCCAGCTCACTATGCCCGCTCCGTGACACATTATATCAATGAAGAATATCCGGGCACATGGATAGGGCGGTCTGGTACGATCTCGTGGCCAGCCCGTTCCCCGGATCTAAATCCGTTAGATTTTTTTACTGGGGAGCACTGAAAGAGAAAGTTTATTTAAAGCCAATTGCAAATTTAGCTGAGCTTCGGCAAAGAATTACGGAAGCAGTTGAGTTTGTCAACAACGAAAGATTTGCCCGTCTGATAACCCGGTCTTTTTTAAGATGGCGAGCTTGTATTGCAGCTGAAGGAAAGCAATTTGAACACCTTTTGTAAAAAAATCTCAGCATCCAAATAATTGTTGATTAATTTTAAACTTAAGGAAAATTTACCCTAAATTTAAGAAAAAGTATGACTCGAATGCGTCACTATCTGTCTGACTCACACTTCATGGATTGATTCTTCCTCTCACTCAAACTAGAATCTTAGTTACTCTCATGGCAAGCTTTGGTTACACTAAAGTCATTTTAGTAGTTAAAAAGAATTTTATCAAAACTGGGATTCTTGAAGAATTTTTTTTCCTGTAATCTAAGAAATAATGTACCAAGTGTCATACCATTTTAGAATCTATACAAATAAATAAAATTGAAGTGTCTGTTTGTAATGTCAAAATTACAGTTTTTTACTAAATGCATATGAAAGTAAATACGATACCTATAACTAAAATACAATTTTTAAAATTTTTGTCTGTCTGTCTGTTTGTTCCGGGTAATCTCCGAAACGGCTGGACCGATTTTGACGGGACTTTCACTGGCAGATAGCTGATTTCATAAGGAGTAACTTAGGCTACTTTTATTTTAGAAAAAGAATCAGGGTTCCGCGCAGAAACATAAAAAACCCTAACACGCGAACGAAGTTGCGGGTAACAGCTAGTCCTTATTAAATGCGTCAACTTTTAAGGTTACTTGCTAAACTGGCGTAGTACAATTTTTTTCAGTACAGTCAGTTAAAGTTGGGCGAAGTATTCATTTTACATTCTTGGTTCGGATAAATGTGACATTTTCTTCTAAGTTGGAGCCGTTAGCTAAGAATTAAAAACAACAGGTTATACAAGCACTACCCAAGATTACACGAAAAAAATAAAATTAAAAAAGTAAAGATTTGTAGCTAAAGGAGCTAAAAAACCATCACAGGATGTACATTTTTCAAAAAAAAAAATTACTGTAATTTAAAAAATACATGATTAAGATTTTTTTAATTTTTTCTGGTAACTGTTATGATTTGTCCTATCACCCGATTGCGGCTTGACGTCGACTTTTGGGACAACCTGTACATACATATATATATATACTGGGTGGCGCCTAGGTTATCACGTTAAATAGCACAGCAGTTAATACAAGTTGATATATGTCTGTTGAAATAATAAAATAAACCATAATAAAATAAAACAAAAAATGCATTTTTCAAACAAAAAAAATTGACAAGAAATAACATATTAGTTTACTGACCTGAAGCGAGCTGTAAAACCGGCAACAGCGCTCAGTGCTCACGTGACATCGACATAGATAATTATAATACCTACACTTGACCTTACATAGATAATTAGGCACGCGTAGGGCGATGGTAATCCGATGTTATCAACGAATCATAAATTTCATGGTATTGTTTTTATCCAAATAATCACTTTAATCTTCAAATCACTCAAGTTTAATGATCAAAACAAATCAAATTTTGAAAGAAAAAATCATGTCGGTGTATTCTGACGACGTGAAGTTGTGATTAGATCTTAGATCTTAAAATTTAAAAAAAGTTAAGACGTTAAAAAATAAAAGCGTGCAATTGCGTACGGGCTGTCACACCACTAAGTTATTAAATATCTAATCTAGCGTATTATTAACGTGTTCTATCACAAACAAATTAAGAAACTTATTAAAATGTCCACAAAACCAAAAAAAAACAACAATTAAAACTTAAAGGACGTGTACGCGAAAAACAAAAATTAGGTCAAGCGACTCATGAACCATGCCCAAGGACGCCGGCGTCGGACTATCAGTCGCACGCGCCAGAGGTAAATACATATTTAGACACTCCGTCCCATTTCTTGTCACTTCGCGCATAAAGAATTGTGCCTTAAGTCCTTTATTTTAAGTAAATTTTTCGCTTGAATTTGTTTTCACACACCCGCAGCGCGCAGTCCCTTTGTTTTTTAATTTCGCGCATAAAATTATGCCTTAAATTGTTAGCCGTAAGTACATTTTTTGCTTGATTTTTTCTTTATATGAGTATTTTCAGGTGATATCTGTGTGCATTTACATGATGTTATTTAATATTAAAACGAAAAAAATGCTACAGCGACTAAAATATTAATTGTTATATATTTTTTAGTTGTGTATGTTTAAAGAAATATATGTAGGATACGTCTTTTCATTTAATGTGTTAAATTCTATTATGTAATATAGACATATTACATAATAGAATTTTTTTTAAGTACAACTTGGCCAAAATAATTAGGAGCATGACAGGAATGCGGTTATGGCGCCCGCATCCCCTCTCTATTTCCGCGCTTCCCCTAGTGACCAATCACCATTCCGGTATTGCCCTAGTTCTAATGACGTCTTAGCTGTCATGCGCCTAACTGTTTTGGTCACGTAGTATACATATAATATTTTGATTGCAATGAAATTCAATGTTAATTGCAGGTTGCAACTGGAAGAGCGCTTAGCGCAAGAAGCACGCGAGAAATCGCGAGAGGACAGGCGGGAAGAGGATAGAAGATCTCTGTACGATAGATCGAGGGGGTCTTACGGAGATGTTCGAAAGAGTCCAATGGATGATAAGAAGAAGGAGCCGGTGCAATTCGTGCTCGGAGGAGATAAGTGAGTAATTCCTTATTTTGTACGTATTTACAGTTCACTCGGAGCTATTTATATGGAAAACATTGGTGATCTATACGCTTATCAGTGACTTTATTATAGCCCATCACAAGTCCACTGGTGAACATAGGCCTCCATAAGGAACGCCACAAAAGCACAGTTCTGAGCCACTTTGCATCCATTGACTTCCTGCATCTCTTACCAGGTCGTTACCCCATTTACATTTCACAGGATGCTTTATTTTTCCTGTCTAAACTGTTTACAGACGCAGAACAGAAGTATTGGATATCGATTTAGCACTTAGTTTCCCATAATTTAAGCGGAAAATCTGGTCATCTGTACTGCAAAAATAGAAAATCAATAATTAAAAATTGTAATATTGTTACGAGCTTGGGGTTCGAGATAATTATAAACTGCCGAGTGAATTACCAAAATTGACACTTTAATTACAGAGCACTAGTTATAACTTAAACCATACTAATAATAAAACAATTATACTACTGATCACTAGTTTGCAGTTATATCCACTTCGAAGTATTTGCTTGTATCGCCAATTCAATACTGCTTCGGGAGTGGTATATACCGGCCTTATTATATAGGGCCTCCGATAGTTTCCAGAACCTTCTGCTGTAGAAACACCTATAATGTTCGAGTACATATCGCTCCCGATTGACTAGGTGTCGATAGTTCCAGAAAGTTCTTCCAAAAATTGAAAAAGAAATTTGTAGAAGGTTCTTGACTTTCCTAGTTCTGCTACTCTATACTTTTTTTTTTTTTATAGGTGAGGGGGCAAACGAGCATGCGGCTCACCTGATGGTAAGTGACTACCGCCGCCCATGAACAACTGCAACACCAGGGGAATCGCAGATGCGTTGCCGGCCTTTTAAAAAGGAGTACGCTCTTTTCTTGAAGGTCCCTAAGTCGTATCGGTCCGGAAAAATCGCTGATGGTAATCGATTCCACAAGGAGGTCGTGCGAGGAAGAAAACATCTTCTAAATCGCACAGTGGTGGACCGCCAATCATCCAGATGGTGTGGATGGTATCGGGAGTTCTGCCGCGATGTGCGTTCGTGAAATTTGGCGGCTGGGATTAATCCGAACAATTCCTCAGAGCACTCCCCATGGTAGATGCGAAAGAAAATGCAAAGGGACGCAACATCTCTTCGCAGTGCCAATGAATCGAGCCGATCGGAAAGGGCTCGGTCGTCGACAATTCGAGCCGCTCTGCGTTGGATGCGGTCAAGTGGAAGGAGCTGGCACTGGGGAGCCCCTGCCCAGAGATGGGAACAGTATTCCATGTGAGGCCGAACTTGCGCCTTGTAAAGTAGCAGGCGGTGTGCCGGCATGAAATACTGTCCCGCTCTGCTGAGCACGCCAAGCTTTTTAGAGGCCAATTTGGCCTTCCCTTCCAAGTGACCACGAAACTGCACGTCACTCGATATGTCGATTCCGAGGATACCGATACTGGCTGAGGCAAGAAGGGGAGTGCCTTGAAACTGAGGAGATACGACAAAGGGGTTCTTTTTAGCGGTAAACGCGCAAACTTGTGTCTTTTGAGGATTAAATTGGACTAGATTTAGTCGCCCCCAATCCGAGACTTTGTTCAGCAAAGACTCGACTTCAATCACAAGTTTGTTCCGGTACTAAATACTAGAGGGCGCTAGTGGTATTAATTGTGGCGCGCAACAATATTCATATTTAATTAATTCATAGTTATTCTCTATCAAAGACAATCTAGCTATTAAGTTGCCTCTACTTACAATTTTCCTTATTCTTTTTTTTAAGCTTTTTTTTGTATTTTAGTTGTCTACTTGTTATTTTACCTATTCATGGTTCGTTCCAATATAAGTGTTATATAAAAAATTGTAAAGCTTACATCTTGATGAAATTAATAAATAACATTTTTGGTCCCAATCTTATTCCATATGTCATAATATTCGTATTATAAGACATTATTTATCGCAAGTCGTTTACGAACATTATATAAAACTTTGATAATAAGGAAGTATTTTTTTTAAATAGACCACTTTTACCATTATAATGTTTTTTAAATTTAAATTTATTAATGTTTGCAGCGTCAATTGGACTGGGGAAGATTTGACACGGGCAATCCATTCCCAATCTCAACCCCAGTTACGTGCTTCCATGCGCAGCATAGCTGGCGCCCCCCTTCCGCCCCCGCGGCGACCATTTTCCTCAGGACAAATTGTCCGTTCACGTAGCACTGACATAGTCCCAACAAATCCAGATGACCCCAGACCTCCACCTAGAAACCCTTTCTCCCGACAAAAGGCTTTACCCGAAGTTAGCCAAAATTCGGATGGCGCCACACCATCCAGCAATACTCCTCCCGAAGAAGAATCCACAGACTCATCTCTTATGGACGACGAGGGATTACCAAAGCCGCGGAAGAGGCGTATACACCTTCCCTTCGGCAAAAAAGCAAAGACTCCCGCGTGACATGAACCTAATAAAGGTCGAGATTTTCTGCGCTGTCCATACTGCCACGAGCAGGACTTCAAGAGTATAAACTTTTTCGATTACCATCGCGCATTTTCTCGGGTCAGATTCTAGCATGATGTCAGTCATACCAATATTTTATTTATTGACTGAGTGTATCGTTTAGAATAAGTAGCTCAAAGTTTGCTTTTAGCGGCGTTACTGATACAATGTATTTTTGTCGCACGTTTGTTTTTGCACATCCTGTATTGATTAGGCATAATATTTAATTTTGAAAATAAAAAAAAATTACAGTAAGTACTTAAAATTACCATTATTTCATTGAATTATATACATTTTCTAGATTATATATAATCATATCGAATTTAAAATGACAGTTACAACATCAACTGATAAAATTGATTGACGAATTTAAAAAGAAATCTCAATAATGACTATTTTTTTATATAGGTTATTTTTATGTCAATTTTGTAAAGATATTTGGAGTGTTGTTCGTATTTCAGATTTTGGATTCCAAATTCCCTGTTTGACGTCCCATCTTTTAACATTATACAAGAACTATCCGATAAATAAATGTATGCTATGTATATTCAACAGTCATTGTTTTTTTTTATTTCATGTAATAACGAAGAATCGCCAGATCTTCCAAACTCCGAATTTTATACGACGGCTATTATTATTTAATTAGTTTTAAGAGATGTTGATAGAGCACGTTGGTTTACTTTAGACTTGTTAGTATTTTTGCTCGGAACATCATGATAAAACGAAAGATTAAAATAAAACAAAAATGAAATTTTATATTTCTATACAAAGCCTTAATCTGAATATCCTACGCAATTTAATATATTAAAATATATTTGTTTATTGTCAAAAGACAACAATTTTAACGTTTTATTTACAATAAGGTCTTATGGAATTTCCATTGAAGTGGTACACTTTTCTTTGATTAGTACATTTTAACAGTACTCAATAAAAATGACCAGAATGAGCGTAGTCCAGATTTTTTTAGGGTTATCTCAAGGGACAGACTCTACTTTGTCTCCCTCTCATGGAGTTCGAGATAGTGTCGTCAACGAGAAGGAACGTGCCTCTTTCTAGCTGAATGCCAGGTTTATTAAAAATTAAATTATAATATATATAATAATTATAATATAATATCTTAAATTAACATCAAGCTATTCTGTTACTATAAACACTAACTAAAATCTTTGCGTGTGATAAAAAATTGTATTACAATATTATGTTAAAATTGAGTATTAGTATAATTTTATAATGTCTCATTAACACTGTACAAGTTTCTTTTATCAAAAATAGCTATATTGAATGCTATTAATTGCGCGTGTAATATATTATTCCTAAATTAAAAGTAACTGATTACACGAGGTTGTTAACTTGATATAAATTCTCTTGAAAGATAGTATTGTACACAAGTTTTGACATGGAATTATTGCATTGTTTAAATCATGGACATTTTTGAACAGAGGGAGTTTATATTAGTATTTTATATTGTTTATATATATGTTTATATATGTATATGTTTAGTATTTTTATATATATATATATGTTTAGTATTTATATGTTTATATTATTATTAGTATTTTGACTAGTCTAAAAAATTTGCGTACGCTAATATTGCATTCGATATTGAATGTTCCCAATAACTGGGCATCGTTATGTGCTGTTTACACTAGTAACAGTTTAGAATTCAACTCGCAAATCTAGAGCAAAAATATTGCGCTTAGTTTAGAAGGAACGTGTTAAATAATGTCTTAACTTTATTGTATGCAACAGGCAGAAACTTGTACAGTGTAAATGGGCCTTAATGACATTTGTATTCTGTGTTTTACAATTGAAAATTCTTAACCGAATGAGACCCATGTTGGTTGTGTTTAAAAAAATCATTATCATGAAATGTTACATATAATTTTATTAATCGCCAAAGGAGTGAACATATAGCAATACCATATCGCATCATTCCCTGTTTGTGTGTTTATGAGAGCGATACAGTTCCTTTTAGTTTATGCAAAGTACGCGCGAGGATCCTCACCCTTGTATGAAGCATACATTTGTAATCACAATTAAATAAATCGCTATGTTTTAAACCGAAGATTTATTAAAATATATGACAACTGTCAAGTGTATAATCGAGTGCGTTGCATAGTAATATTCGAATTGCTTAATTTAAGAGTAAGATCCATCACGCGTACTCTATCGATTCAAATAATTTTAAGACATATTGGTGCTAAAAGAACGTATTTCAGACTGAGGGACAACGCGTTGAAATTGCAATAATTTTGCAAACGTGGGTACGTTTGTAAGTTCCTGCCAGCTTCATACCTAAATATGGTTTTATAGCATATAGTATTATACTACACAATATTTTGTAGCAATTTATATAGTAAATGAAAGTCAACTGTTTGAAATGTGTAACGCATCATGCCTAGCAGCTATACTTAAGTCGGTACTTAAATTTAAAGGCGCAAATAAAATTATCAACTTTGCCTCGATTGTATGAAATTATTAATAAAACGTTACACATTATCATATATTTATATTTATCATAATATAATAATAATAATTAGTATAATTATCTAAAAAAGAAACCTGTTAAAAACGGACCTATGTCTTAAACAGATCTGTTAAAATTAAACCTTGTGTATATTTTGTATAGCTTAGATCCGAGTCTAACCGTTGTATAATGAAAAGACAAATCGTGATAAATATTGTTATTTCATTGAGAGATAAATAAATTGGTCCTGTACTACAGTTTTATTATGTCATGTCCTAAACAATTAACGCATTTTCTGTTATACTTATTGTATTTCACTATGAAGTTTTGACTTTGGTTGTAGTTAACCGTGCACATACACGTTGTGTTAGTGTAATTAGGCGGCGGGCACTCGGGAGTAACGCTCCCGAACCATACGCACACTAACACAACGTGTATAGCAACCAAAGTCAAAACTTCATCGTGAAATAGAAGAACTATACACCATATTCTTTGACGCCTGCTTTATTGTGCAAACACGAATGCCTATATAGACATAGAAGGACAAGATTGCTACGACGCGGTATACCCTCTATTTGCTATCCAAATTCTTGCAAGGAAAAAAGTAATATTATATTAGTAAGAAAATAATATTAAAAAAAATATATATTTCAAATGCAGGAAGTATGCAATTGTGAACAACAATGTATATAGAAAACCTAATGTTTAATTTCAATGAAATCCGTGTATATATAGTGTAATGTAACGTACAGTCTGTACTGACTGTACTGAGTGACGTACAGTCCAGAGACACCTACATTTATCATCAATAAATAATCAAAATATATAGCATTGTCAGTTATCACTTATCACCCACGAATACTAAGATGGAATGTCTCGTTACTAGTTTATTATTTATAGGATAAGGGTGATAAACGTGCACACAATCTACCTGATGGTAAGTGATTGCTGTGACCCATAGACATCTACATCTGTACTCGATAAATAATTAAAATGCAGATGCGTAGTCACCCGTGAGGACTACGATGGAATGTCTCTTTTCCAGTAACCAATGCTACAGACTCGAACAATTCGACCTCAGTATCGTTATCGAGGACTGCAAAAACCCCAGTACACCAAAATTTCAGACGGATTGGAGCAACCAATTTTTTGGTCGCCATCTTATTTTTGGTTAACTCGCATTTGTATTCTCAGCAAGTCCTTTCATTTGATACCCATATTGTAGGAAAGCATAAAAAAACTTAGTCCACCATATTGGATTTAGAGTGACGTCATTTTATTTTATTGTCATTTTGTTTTTTATTGTAGGAAAATATAAAAAAACTTAGTCCGCCATATTGGATTTAGATTGACGTCACTTTATTTTTCGAGTTACACTAAAGCAAGTCCTTTAATTTGATACCCATATTGTAGGAGTGCATTAAAAATAACTAGTCCGCCATCTTGGGTGTTCCGCCATGTTGGATTTAGAATGACGTCACATAACAAAACATGCATTGTTATCCAAACTTAACGTGTATACAAAATTTCAGCTCAATTGATTGAAGATATCTGCTTCTTGCAAAATGTCACCCGAACAAACATACCTAGTTACATTGCAAGTTAAATAAAAGCTTGTGAAAACAATTTTATTATAATTGTTTGTATTTTATTTATTACACCTCATATATTTCATGAATTCCTCTTCTTACCTTTCCCCAAAAAAAATTAATTTTTAATATTATGAAAGTAACAGCGACAATTTTTTGTTGCACGAAAGTGTACATGCGCAAACTTTCCCCCACTACGCCAAAACTTTGCCATATTAGTTGTCGTATACTATATTTAGGTGGCACAAGTCGCGGGCTCGAACTCACTGGTGGGCGCGGCCAAAAAGCTCGCTGTCTCACCTGGCATCGTGCCCGACAGCGATAGTATCGGTGATGAACAGTTGGACACTAGTATTCACGCACGTGTTTTCCGTACGGCATTCCGAACCGTTCGAACAAAAACGAAGTTACACGAACACGTTGCACACATTATTATACATCCGTCCTACGCTGTGTGCCGCTCGACGCTTGCTGAGAAATCTGCAAGTACCTACCAACTCGTACTAAATTATTAGGCGCTGCATTATCGCTTTATATTATACCTCTATAGATACCTAATACAAATAGCTTATTTTGTGTTAAGTTTTCCCCGGGTAGTCATGCAGCGATCACTCAAGAGTTCACGACGCCGAAGCATGAACTTGAACAGTCATCGCAGTTTATGTCCGTACTAGCTGTTGCCAGCGGCTTCGAACGCGTGTAAATCGAAAATTATCCCACAGGAACGAAATACCTGAAACTTCACGTCTTCAAAATATTTTTTTCTTATTTCTCACATACTCGCTCTAAAATGGCAATAAGAAAGTCAGGTAATTGCCCGACTCGCATTCAGTCGGGCACGCTCTCGCGTCGCGGCTATACCTTCGCTACAGCGCGTAAATCTTCTAGTTATTCGTGGTAAA